CAACCTAAGAGCGATGGTCTCCAACCTAAGAGCGATGGCTTTTAACCTAAGAGCCAAGAGCTGGAACCTACTAGCAATGGCCTCCAACCTAAGAGCAATGGCCTCCAACCTAAGCTCCACACCTACTAGCAATGTCCTCCGACCTACTAGCACTGGCCTCCAACCTAAGAGCGATGTCCTTGTGCTAAGAGCGATGGCCTCCAACCTACTAGCAATGGTCCCCAACCTACTAGCAATGGCCTCCAACCAGAGAGCGATGGCCTTCAACCTACTAGCAATGGCCTCCAACCTACTAGCAATGGACTTCAACCTAAGAGAGTGATGGTCTCCAACCTAACCTAAGAGCGATGGCTTCCAACCTAAGAGTGATGGCCTCCAGCCTAAGAGCGATGGCCTCCAACCTGAGAGAGCGATGGTCTCCAACCTAAGAGCGATGGCCTCCCACCTACTGGATGGCCTCCCAACAAAGTGCGATGGCGTCCCACCTAAAAGCGATGGCCTCCCACCTACTAGCAGTGGCCTCCGACCTAAGAGGGATGGCCCCCACCTAAGTGCAATGGCCTCCAACCGACTCGTTTTGAGGTTCAGCCTGGAGCGAAGTTCGCCTCCCTCGCGCGGCTCATGTGTCTGGGATCATCGATGACGGGCGCTGGCCGATGAGGGGCGCGGGCCGTTGACGGGTGCGGAGGAGAGCTGCGGTGAAGCGAGCGGTGGAAGCGAGCTGTGTTGGGAAGGACAGGGCGGCCATGGGTCAAAGTAGGTTTCCAGCAGGTGCGGCGCTTGCAGAATGAGGATGGAGGACTGTTGCACGGGTTGTGTGACGAGTCATGATTCTTCGAACACAGCTGCAGCCAGAACCCCCTTGAGGTCTATAGCTGTAACTTATCCAATTGCTTCCAATTGGTGTTGCAAAACCTGTTCGTGCGCTTTCCAACACAAAAAACCTTTGTATGCAGGACCCCCTTCCCCTGAAACATCCTGAAGCACAATTCCAAACCAGCTACTCTTCCTCTTGTTTCCACCGGATACCACCGGTCCGAGTCTTCCATCCGAGGTCCGATGGCCGGGGCTTTCCACCGGGCTTCCGCATCGATCGAATCCACGCGCCCTTGGTGCGCGAGACCTTCCTCCACAACGGCCTTTGGGCTCAGATCTATTTTTTCAATCTATCGGTACCATCGCTACTAGAAGCAAGGATGCTGCTAGGGGCTCCTGGCCTTACTACTAGTAACAAGAAGTTATTAGGGGCTCCTGGCATCGCTACTAGGAGCAAGGACGCTACTAGGGGCTCCTGGCCTTCCGACTACTAACAAGAAGCTACTAGGGGTTCCTGGCATTGCTTCTAGGAGCAAGGACGCTACTTAGCCACGAGTACCCCAGTGTCATTAGCAGGGACCCAAATAGCTTTGGGGTAGTCCTCATACTCCTGGGGGCTCCTGGCCTTACCATTAGTAACAAGAAGCTACTAGGGGTTCCTGGCATCGCTACTAGGAGCAAGGACGCTACTAGGGGCTCCTGGCCTTACTACTAGTAACAAGAAGATACTAGGCGCTCCGGCATCGCTACTAGGAGCAAGAACGCTACTAGGGGCTCCTGGCCTTACTACTAGTAACAAGAAGTTACTAGGGGCTCCTGGCATCGGTACTAGGAGCAAGACGCTACTAGGGGCTCCTGGCCTTACTACTAGTAACCAGAAGTTATTAGGGG